AAAACAGCCTGGTACTGGTACAACAACAGATACATAGACCAATGGAACAGAATTGAGAATCCAGACATAAATTCATCCACCTATAAGCAGCTGATATTTGACAAAGGCCCAAAGCCCGTTAAATGGGGAAAAGACAATCTCCTTAACAAGTGGTGCTGGCATAAATGGATATCCATCTGCAAAAAACTGAAACAACACCCACACCTCACACCATGCACAAAAACTAATTCAAAATGGATCAAAGAGTTAAATATAAAATAAAAAACGATAAAGATCATGGAAGAAAAAATAGAGACAATGCTAAGAGCCCTAATATATGGCATAAACACAATAGGAACCATAAGTAAAAATGCACAAGCACCAGAAGAGAGACTAGATAAATGGGAGCTCCTAAACATCAAACACTCGTGCTAGTCAAAAGACTTCACCAAAAGAGTCAAAAGATAACCTACAGACTGGGAAAAAATTTTGGCTATGACAAATCCGGTCAGCATCTAATCTCTAAAATCTACAAGATACTGCAAAACTACAACAACAAAAAGACAAATAACCCAATTGAAAAATGGGCAAAGGATGTGAACAGGCACTTCACCAAAGAAGATACTCAGGCGGCTAACAGACACATGAAGAAATGCGCACAATCATTAGTAATTAGAGAAATGCAGATCAAAACTACAATGAGATATCATCTTACCCCAACAAGGCAAGCAACAATCCAAAAAACAAAAAGTAATAAATCCTGGAGAGGTTGTGGAGAGTCTGGAACACTTATACACTGTTGGTGGGAATGTAAAATGGTACATCCACTTTGGAAATCGATTTGGCGCTTCCTTAAAAAGCTAGAAGTAGAAGTACCACAGGATCCAGCTATGCTCTCCTTGGAATATATCCTAGAGAAATAAGAGCCGTCACACGAGTAGATATAAGCACACCTATGTTCACTGCAGCATTGTTCACAATAGCAAAAGGATGGAAACAGCCTAGGTGCCCATCAACAGACGAGTGGATAAACAAATTATGGTATATCCACACAATGGAATACTATGCAACAATAAAGAACAACCATGAAGCCGTGAGACATCTTATAACATGGAGAAAGCTGGAAGTCATTATGCTGAGTGAATTTCATCAGTCACAGAAGGACAAATATTGTATAAGACCACTATTATAAGAACTCAAGAAAAGGTTTAAACACAGAAGAAAACATT